TGGTTCATTTGGTTTCCAAGTAAAGTTTTAAAACTGTACATATTTTGGAGGCCTGTGTGACAATCAGAAAAATGGGCTTGTTATGAAGTTGTCATTCATCACTCAAGCTTTAGAGTGGAAGAATGTCATGTGTTGACCTCAGAGTGCGAAATATTGTAGATTAAAATGACTATTCTGCTCTGAAACTGGCACTTTGCTTTTAAGTATGCATACTTACTGAACCTTCACAAATACCTACTAAACCTTAAGAATAACATTTTTAAAACTTACATTTAACAGCAGAGTAGATTCATCTGGAGAATTTCCTGCCACGCCCAATATCAAGGCCAGATATTCCTCCAGCCAGTAGATAGTAGCAGAATGTTATAACAGGCTGCTCTATGGCAGAAATGAAAACCTGGGCTAAGTGCCCACATCTCGACGTTCCCCGCACCCTTAGCCTGGCTGCCATTTCAACAGCTCTCTGCTCCATTAGGTTCCATCCTTGCCCATCTATCCAGGAATCTCTTGAGGACCCAGCTACAGCCAGAGACTGTCACTTGTTTGTATGTATGGTCCACCCTCCTTACTCTGCCAGCTATGACTTGCTTCTGCTCAGCACAATGAAGAGCTTCATGAGGCTACAATCAGCTGCTACAGTGTATAGTCCACCCTCTTTGAACCTTCCTTCTTCTGCTGGTCATGTCTTGGTCCCTGCTCCCTCTGTGCATCACAAAGAGCTTCATGGGGCGGCTGTCAACTATTTCAAGTTGCAGTCCATGCTCTTTTAGACTGCTCACTCTGCCAGTCATGACTTGGCACCTGCTTCCTTTCTACAAAGAAGCTCTGTGAATACAGCAGTCCTTCTCTGGTGAGGTTCCTCTCGTGTGTTCCTCAGACTGTGGCGGTTTTCCCTGTGAGACCTGCTCTGACAGGTCTTAAGTCGTAAACAATGGCTGACTTGAATTTCTCTGGGGAAAGTTATCCACGGCCAGTGGTTCTGTCTCCCTGGGGCCCTGATTTACTGTTACGCTAATTTACAAAGATTGATTAACATCAGATAATCCCAGACTTCGCTTCCATGCCGTGACATTATATAAGCACAAGTCACATATCTACTGACAGAGCCTTCTTCCTTTTGTGCTACTCAGCATTTCGTTGGAAAAGGAGTACTTAAGATTGATTAAATATTCCATGCATATTCTATGTGAATATTCCATAATGAATATTCAAGGTCACTACATTGGAATGCATTCGTTCTGAAGTAAGGACTGAAATGAGCAGAAAACCAAACGGGCGGTTTTGGCTTTTGCTGTTGTGGTTTGTTTGGTTTAAAATGGAAAAAAAATGTAAAAATTTGTGTAAATACAGTGCAAATTCCAGATGAGTTTCACTGTATTTTGTGTAGGTATCTTGTGGAGTGAGTCTGTTGCAGGATTTTCTGCTGCAAGGGATAGCTATAGAGAAAAAAACTTCCCATGTCATAAGGTCATGCAGACAGAAGGGGGGTGCCGGTGGGGGGTGGGGGAGGGTATGTACATGGCCCACATACATGACATCAGCTCTGAAATCATCCCATTCCATCTTAAGAATGTACAGCATCCCTCTTTTTATAAAACCGGTTCTCCCCTCGGATTTTATTCCGCCGTATAATTCGAGAGGGTGCGTGTCCTCTCAAGTGGGCTTTTCTTTGAACCGAAGGCCGCTCAGCAATCTCTGGGCTTCAAGTAGGAGTGAGCCCACTTCAGCCTCAGGCTGGAGCAAAATTGATGATGTCTAGCAAAAGAAGAAACCCTTTCAATGGTTCTATTCTGGTGCTTTGGTGTGGTATAGCTGGCTGTAGTGTGGGTGCAGTTTATTAAAGAAAAGAGAGAGAGAGAGCGCACATCCCTCACTTGAGCTGCGGTTTCTGTTTCAGTTTCCTCCACACCGTACAGTGTCTTGTGGTGATGAATGGCCGGCGTTCAGGGGGGACAAGGATTTGGACATTGCCAGCCATTGATTCGAGAGGATGGTAATGGTCTTATCTGCAGCGCCCCAACGACTTTGTTTCAATCCAAACACTTTTTTTAAGCTATAGCTGGGTATGTATGAGAAAGACATTTTATTAACTCACATAATTCTCTTGAAAATGTACTCAAAACTATGTTATCATGGATATTTTTCATCACTAATCAGCAATACTAGGTAGGAAGTACATAGTGGGGAAGATTTAAGTTTTCTACTCTATGTGACCTTCAAATTTTACACTGCTACTGCTATTACTTTTTGTATATAAAAGTCACCATATAAACAACTTTAAAATGCAGTTTAAAGCAAGTTTGGCAGAAATGATTTTTCTTGAATTATCATGCTGTTTTCCAGTATTGTTTGTGCAGTCACCAAGCAATCTGAAGAATTAGCTAAACACCATGAAAACAGATCCACATTTTCCTGAGTGCATGTGATTAGCCTAGCGGTACAAGCGAGCGTGAGATGCGGTTTTAAATGAGGAGTAGCTCTCTGCAGGCACACAGGGCTTGGCAGCTGGGATGTAATCATTGCATTTGCATTCCTCTGCGTCCACAAACTTTCTGTTCGAGCGATGCTACAGTTTTTAGAGTGGCACCGATCTCTGATCTCTGACCTGTGCTCTGCAGAGATGTGTCTGACGAGCATTTATATTCCGGGCTCGTATGGCCGCCTTAAGTTTGCTTTCATTCAGCCCACATATCAGCCAGAGCCAGGTGTGTGTAGGTGGGTAGCACTTGTCAGCAGGAGTGTCTTTCTGAAACACAGACCGCTCATTTCGTGGTGCGGCTGTCCCTATGGTGTCTCTTACTCATTCCCTTCTCTTGTCAGTCACCCCTTCCACCCCATGTGAGAACAGAATTTAAGACTGTGCCATTAACATTGCACTTTGCCACAATATCTTATTGGGCAAGTGCAGTCTATCCAAGATAATTCCATTCCAAATTGCTAGCTCAGAACAATGGCATGTGTTGATGTCTGTTTTATTTTGTGATGTACAGCAGTGTGGTGCAGTGGTGAGGAACAGGGCTCATAACCCAAAAGTTGCTGGTTCAGTTCCCCGCTAGGATGCTGCTGTTGTACTCTTAGGCAAGGTACTTCACCCGAAATTGCCTCAGTAAATATCCCACTGTATAAATGGATAAAATTGTAACCTACTGTATGTAAGTCACTCTGGATAAGAGTGCCCGCTATATGACAATAACGTAATTTAATAATGTGTAGTGAATAGATGACTAATTCACAAGATTTCGCACTTCTGACCAGCAGGCTGATGAAAGGAATCCAGTGTAGGATAAGAAAAGAGAAAGCTGATCTATTGATGCTTTGCCTCTGGAAACATTTTGCGGCTCCCCTGTAGCCCTAGTGACAACATCTGTGACGAGTGCTGTCACCTCTGTGGTGCGCTACCGCTCGGTGTGACATGGTAATTGCAGAGACAACATTCCCCCCTGTAATTGGGCCTCTGTCTGAAGGAGGGTCTGGGGGTAGGCAGGAGGTGCTTTTAGTGTCCTGTCCTGACACGTCCCTGGGACGGTGCCCTTCCTCGGGCGTGGGCAGGAGTGGAGCTCCCAGGACTGAGCCCCTGTGCCTTGCCGGACCTGCTAATGAGAGACAGCAACATGCTCCATTCATCATATTCATCAGAGCTGTCAGCCCCCTTACCCCATCCATGCTCTGCTGCCCACTTCCTGTCTCTGGCTGACAGAAAGGTGAACCGTTCACTGAGGGCTACCAAGGGGGCGAACGGGCCGTTTTGATCGAGGCGAATGCCGTTTGGGCTCCACTAAACGCACTGTTGGTTTCTCAGCACTGTTTTTTATTGGGCTTAATTAGTGCACCATGTGGCAGTTGTTTGTGAATATTCAAATTAAACCCGTGCGTTTGTTTGACTTGTTTCATTGTCGCGTATCACAAGCAAGGATGTGGTGTTCAAAACACTACCTGCCAATTTCATGTTACATCTAGCATCTGTCAGTTAAAATGCAGTTTGACATGAACATCACTCAAACACCGCTTAATTCTCCACCATAAGGTTAAAGCAGTCAATTATTATTGAATATTTTTGTGAACCATCAGATTGCTGCTGCCCATGCAGAAAACCCTACTTCATGTGATATTCATACAGTGATCATTGTCATACAAGCAGCCTTACGCATCATGCTTTTGCACAGTTACTTTAATAATGTGCCTATGCACTTTCTTCATTATTACTCTTCAAGGAATCATAAGACAGAGATTAGTGTGCGTGTCCTTTCCTATTCATTTTAATAATGATGTATTAGCTGTTTTTTGACTTGTTGTTTGGCTGGTAAATCTCATCTTCCCAGCCCGAAATAGAAACAAAGTTGCCCGGATTATGCTAAGCAGAGGGAGAGCGCTCTCAATCAGAAAATAATGAGACTTCAGCTCCTCCATCCTGCGCTATCATCTCCTTCTTCCCGGTTCTATCCCTCCAGATCCAGAGATATGCCCCTCTGGCTCCAATGGGCATTAGTAATTTTCGGAAGGGAAAGGGGGAGCTAGCAGTTCTCACAGCGGGAGATTCAGAGTCCAGTGCACAGCGGCCAGATTGTACTTTAATTACCAGCTCCAACTCGCAGTGCAATAATGTGGGTGCAGACAAAATCCCTCAGGAACAGGAACTTGCCCACGAAATGTACATGGCTTTATTCCACATATGTCTGTGGGGCACTCCTTCCTTGCAGATTGATAGAGTTGAATTTTCTTTGCATGCCGTGATTTTTTGTCCCCGATGAGCTTCATTCAGTATTTTGATCTTGTTCATATTACTTTTACCATGCAGGCGAGCTAGGAAAAATATTAAACATGCATTAACTCTGAAACCGTGTGAATGTGCGGTTTGAATTCGAAGGCAGCAGACTTGACCATTCACTCACCTTTGAATTTCCCATGGACCACAGTCTCTCTAAAGGTTAAAAGATGGGTTGTAATTGACTGTCTCTACTTTAATGCTGATTTCCTCTCCATACCTTTGCCATCTGAGGGATGACAGTGTAGCACAGTGGTAAGGCACAGCGCTTGTAATGGAAAGGTTGCCGGTTCAATTCCCTGCAGGGTCACCGCCGTTGTACCCTTGGGAAAGGTACTCAACCCAGAATTGCCGCAGTAAATACCCAGCTGAATAAATGTAAAATTGTAACTTGTGTAAGTCGCTCTGAATAAGAACATCTGCTAAGTGACAATAATGTAATGCAGTGGTATAGTTGATGATTGCACATGGGGGTGTGATGCTAACTTGCGACCACACTCTAGGACCATATGACCATCTGTGAGAGGTACCGCCTGTGGTCACTCTGCAGCTGACCTCCTATTCCTCACCCCCCCTCCCTCCCCTTCCTCTCTTTCTGAAGGCGATCCACTCAGTGGCCTGGCACCATGAAGGGAAGCAGTTCATCTGCAGTCACTCGGATGGCACTCTGACCATATGGAACGTAAAGTCCCCCGCCAAGCCTGCACAGACAATCACACCGCACGGTAAGTTCTTCTGCACCACAATGAGAGAGAGAGAGAGAGATGAAGAGATGTAGACTGACTTTTGTTATACTATACTCAAAGCCTGAAATTACTCTAATTTGATTAGCCGCTCCTACCACCAGGGAAAGGGACACAGAGATTAAAAGAGGAGTTCATAGTTTTGGGCTAATCATTGACAAGCCCTTGTATCTGTGCTGAGTCCATATTTATGGGGAGGCTGGGTGTGTAGATACAATGTGATACAGTGATAGTACCAAACACTTTGTACCAAACACATCATTTGCTTGGATTCTTTTAAAGAGCCATTTTGCTTGCGTGAGTTTGCTGGTCCTCCTGGTTCTCTTTCTCAAATTGCTCATTATGTTTGTTTGTAGCAATTTTCTACATTATAAACTTCAATCCCAGGCAACCCTGTGTGCATTTTAGAATCTTTGTGGCTGGGAATTCTTTATGCTTCCAAACTATTGTGAATGAATGTGTTTTTGAAGTCAGCTCTGCCTCATTAGTTATTATCAATGGCACTGCAGTTTTAACATATATATATAAGAGATGTTCAGAGAAAGAGCAGACACCCCAGAAACAAATATGGCAGGAAACTGGTTACATTAAGCCCAAAAGTAAAATGAAACATGACATGGTGTCATCTTTGCTTTTTAATGAACCACCTCAAGAGGAAAAAAAGAAATCAAACGTAAAGGTTAATGTAACATGTTTTCAATGATCTTACTGTGCCAGTCGGTTCTTTTTTTTCAGCAAGGGAAAAAATTCTCCCAGTTAATGTTAGAGTCTTGAATGAGGTTACTTGAAGTGGAGACAATATAGAATAATATACATAAATGATATGGGGGTTCAAATGCAAATGGCTCTGAGTTGGTGTTTAGCCAGAATGGTTTCCCTGGTAGCAGTGCGGTGGCTTTGAATGAGTCCCCATGTACCTTTTTGTCCCCATGTGGTCCATGGTCACAAAAAGTATACTGGTGACCGCCGACATGTGTCTTGAGAGAGCAGATGTGAGCGACTCCAGCTCCATTTCTGGGGTCCAGTTGCAGGAGAGTCCTGCAGGGAATGTGTGGGCTGAAACTAGTACAGGGAGCTGTTACAGTGGCCAGGATGGTTTCCCATTCGCTGTTAGATGCTGTTGGCTGAATGCTGGCCTGACCTTTGATTCAACTCTGTCCACTTTCCATTTCACGAGGGCAAAGATTTTGAAGTGCGCCACAGGATTCAAATTCAGTGAATGTGCCAGAGGTGTTTCGGTGAGGAAGTAAAACCCTGCAAACGCTTTAGCTTTAGGTAGCAAGCATTCATGAGTCAGCCTCGCAGGAGCCATTGACTTGGTGTGAGACTGGTATGTCCAACTATGCACTTTCCCTGAGGTTCATTGTAAAGCGGTTATTGATGTTTCCCAAAAATATAGACTGAGCCCTAAAGCTCAACATGTCACGCATTTGAGTCTGACATCAGCTGAAAATGACCTGGAGCCCTAGCAGCAGAACATAAATGGCTCTGCTATGCTGAGGGGCCCCTGGGTTATGTTGGCCAGGGTCCCTTTGCTGCGCTGCTCAATAGCACTTTCTAGAGACTCGCCACGTCCACATGAGTTGCTCCGATGAAATTACTGGGGGACGCGCCTATTCTGTTTGTGTTTGCCGTTTGCCCTCCTGAGGTGCACTCTGGGACTGTTGGCTGCATCTGAGCGTGTCAGAGAATTACGCGAGTGCAGAGGGTGTTGCAGTGAGACGGGTTTAATGTGCATACAGCTGGCGATTCTAAAATCAGGATGCAGAAGGGAAGAAAGCATTAAAAAATGCATGTTTAATAGTACTGGCAGGGTAAACTACTGGCCCTTTTTTTTAACAGAACATGCCCTTGGTGCCCTTTAGCAGAAACCATGTACAGACTCTGGACACCGGTAAACAACGAAACATTTTGACGAAAAGAAAATGAGGAATAAAAGGGAAGAAATAAAGTATGAAAGGGAAGAGCCATAAACCATTACCCTCTCTCCATTACAGGGCAGATCCTCACTGAAACGCATGCAGCACTATCCCCTGCCTTTATCTCCCTGTTTGTTTTATGCTTGGATATTGGCAGAAAATGAGAGGCAGACAAGAGCATGGGTAATGCGACAAGCTGTTGCCGCTCGAGACGGCGTCGGCTTTAGAGTGGAGTCCCTGGTGCAACGTTAATTTCTCCGCCTGTGTCTTGCCCCGTGCTGCACAAAAATACCAGCCACTTCTGGAGGTGATAGCAGCCTAGCAACTGGTCCATTTATGTGCTCCCTCTCCCCGTTTGCGATATGTTGGTGTTTGGAAGTCTCTTGTAAATTGATGCAAATCAAACAGGAAAGGGGCTTCCTTCAGGTTAAAGTAATATTCAATTCGTCCTTCGGACAAAAAAAAGAATCTGAACCCAGGAAAATTGCTAGGCTGGACGAACAGTACCAAGCATTCATCAGTCAGCCTTGCAGTGCATCTAACCAAGCACTTTCCTTGAGTTTCATTTTCAAGAACTTATTGACTTTTTTCCCACAGAGAGGACTGAAAATTAATTACGAGCTCCCGTTAGATATGCGTGTTAGATAAATGATAATGGTGAGGTGAGGTATTGATCATGTGTCAGAGAACGACCCCAGATATTCTTTAAAGTGGGTGGCGGCCAGGGTGGCGGCTCAGGGTGATAAACCGGCGAAAGATGCGTGCTTTGTAGATGGATGGACCCGTCTCTGGACCTGGCAAATAAAAGAACTGCGTAGTTAGTAAGTGCAGCATCAGGGAAAAGGCTGAAAATTGGCCCATTGAACAGCTTCGGAAATGTTCTATTTCAGGAAAGCAGCCCAAGGATGGAAAGAAGCCAGAGCCTTGCAAGCCCATTCTGAAAGTGGAGTACAAAACAACCAGAGCCGGGTAAGGGCGGGGCCTGCAGCCCAATGCCGATAGCTGTCGCCTCTCCCCTCTCTTTCTTCACAGCTCAATGGGCACCCTGTCCCTTTGTGCGCACTGCACTCATTTTCTCCACAAGGTGTGCATCCTTAAGCAGGATAGCGTTAGCATACAGGCCACACAGTCACTGTGCTGCCAGAGGCTGTGGACGTGTGGGAGCTAGCTGGCACCAAAGCTCTCTCTCTCTCCTTCAGGCAGTGGGGGGAAAATGAAGGCCTTTCTGAAAATGAAAGTCTTTGTGTCACATGTCAGCAAGGAGGGTCAGCCAGACGGAGGGTAAAGTCCTGGCACCGGTGTTTAAGACAGAATAAAAGGAAAACTTTGAACGCGGCTCAAGCTATCAGCCACATTATTTTCCAGGCCTAATCTCAGAAGTCAGGCTTTTTGATTCTACAAAACAGCCTAATAAAGCCAGGCTCACATCCATGGCAAATTACGAGGGCTTGTCAAATCTGCTCTAGAGAAAAAATAACAAATGCCCTTTCTCTTACCGGACATCAAACAAAGTTTTCTTTCACAAGAAAAGTTATGTTTTAATGACCACAATGTCCAGTCATATTCTGGGTTGTAATATTCCCCAGTGAGGCAGTCAATGAGAAATAGCAACCAGTAAGTGGAAATCCTTAAATAATCAAACCAAGAATTTATTTTTTACTGGTTTTACTGGTGTTGATTATGGACATTTCCTCCTAGCTGAGAGTGTTTTTATTAAATGAATGTAATTCATTTAATACCTTAAAACATTGACATTTGGGTTTGACGTGATCATACATATTTTTAGCTTTTTGCAACTGTAATCTTCTGCACCAGTTATTGTTTTTAGTGACTAACCTGAGAGCTTTGGGTGAGTTTATTTTTTACTTTTATTAAAATTTGTTCAGGAAGAGTAATAATGCATCAGAAAGTGATGCACTACCAGAGAGAGTTTTAGAATACCTGTAAGACTCAGCCCAGTGCACTTACAGAACAATCTCAACCCGTTTCAGTGAAACCATAACACCCAGCTCCCAGTGCTGTTCTAAATCACATCCATTTTTGTTTGTTGTCCCATATATGTCCGATATTGTGATGTGGCTGCCATGGGCATCATGGGTAATCGTGTGTTGTCTCATCCAGAGATCCGTTCATGATCCTGTCTGGAGGCCTGTCCTACGACACGGTGGGAAGAAGGCCGTGTCTCACTGTCATGCATGGGAAGAGCACCGCTGTTCTGGAGATGGACTACCCCATCGTGGACTTCCTAACGCTGTGTGAAACGCCATATCCAAATGGTGGGTGCTTCTCTTTACCCTCTTCAACTATGGCACATTGAGGTTGAATGCTGTTTCCTCATCCAGGTTTTGTGCCTTGGCGGGGAAAGCTAAACAAACACAAAAGCAATCAGCTTGCTGGTAGCTAAAGGTGGCTGCAAAGATACTTGCATGGCTTCCTGGAAAATATAACTATGTTTCCTTGAGGTTTTGTTTTAGTGTCCTATGTCTGAGAAGCTTGATGCTGGGAGCTCTGTTGCCAGTTTTTGTCACTGGTTTTGACTAGTGAGATCTCAATTTAGCATTGCAAAGCACCATGTTGCATCATTACATTGCTGCTTTTGACTGACAAATCTCACTGTGTTTAACAATGTTAAACAAAGGTCTGTGTGA